TTCTTCACAAGCACAAATAATATAAAAGGATGGAATATTTCCAGACTCATTCTATGAACCCAGTATTACTGATACAAAAACCAGAAAAAAAGATATCACAAGAAAAGAAGACTGCAGACCAATACATCTTTTTTTTTTTTAAGTTTCCAATTATTTATTAGACAGAAAGATCACAAGTAGACAGAGAAGCAAGCAGAAAGAGGGAAGGAAGCAGGCTCCCCACCGAGCAGAGAGCCCGATGCAGGGCTCCATCCCAGGAGCTGGGATCGTGACCTGAGCCAAAGGCAGAGGCTTTAACCCACTGAGCCACCCAGGTGCCCCAATACATTTTTTTTTTTTAAAGATTTTATTTAATTATTTGTCAGAGAGAGAGAGGGAGAGAGAGCAAGCACAGGCAGACAGAATGGCAGGCAGAGGCAGAGGGAGAAGCAGGCTCCCTGATGAGCAAGGAGCCCGATGTTGGGACTCAATCCCAGGACGCTGGGATCATGACCTGAGCCAAAGGCAGCTGCTTAACCAACTGAGCCACCCAGGCGTCCCCCAATACATTTTTTTGAATATGGATGCAAACATCCTCAGCAAAATACTAGCAACATGAATCCAGAAATTAGACAAAGAATTATAAACCATGACCAAGTGGGATTTAAACCAGGTATGTAAGATTGATTTAACTTCCAAAAATGAATCAACATAATATACTAATATTGATAGAATAAAAACAAAAAAATTTTCAAGTACTTTCAAAAGACCCAGAAAAATAATTTGAAAAATATCTAACCCCCCTTTTTTATATATATACTGAACAAACTAGCAATAGAATAGAACTTACTCAACCTGATAAAGAGAATCTACACATGGGAAGGCTGGGTGGCTCAGTTGGTTAAGCGGCTGCCTTCAGCTCAGGTCATGATCCCAGCATCCTGAGATAGGGTCCCACATCGGGCTCCTTGCTTGGCAGGGAGCCTGCTTCTCCCTCTGCCTCTGCCTGCCACTCTGTCTGCCTGTGCTCGCTCTCACTTCTCTCTCTGTGACAAATAAATAAAATCTTTAAAAAAAAAAAAAAGAGAGAGAAAGAATCTACACACACACACACACACACACACCCCCAAACAGAAAAAAACCAAAAAACTAACATATAAAAAAAACCCTCCAGTTTACATCATACTTGATGAAGTAAGACTGGGTGCTTTCTCACAAAATTAGGAATGCCCACTCTCCCTGATTTTATTCCACATGGTACTTCAGGTTCTAACTAGGACAAATAGGCAAGATAAATAAATAAAAGGTATCCGGATTGGAAAAGAAGAAGTAAAACTATCTCTAGTCACGGATGAAATGATTTTTTATGTAAAAATCCCTAAGAAATCCATACACACAAAAGTTAAAATGAACACATTTAACAAGGTTTTAGGATGCAAAATCAAGATACAAAACTTAATTATCTCTTATACATGTACAGTGAACAGATTGAAAATGAAAATTTAAAAATCGATTCCACCTACATAGCCTCAAAAGAACAAAATATTTAGGGATAAATTTAACAAAAGAAGTCCAAACTTACACTCTAAACATCACACAATATTGCTGAAAGAAACTGGAGATCTACGTAAATGGAAATATGAACATCCTTGTTCATAGATCAGAAGATTTAACGTTGTTCAGATTGCAATCCTTCCCAAATTAATATGAAGATTCATCAAATCCCTATCAGAATATCAAGGGACTCCTTTGTAAAAATAGGCAAATTAATTCGAAATTCATATGGAATTTCAAGGGACACAGTATAGCTAAAACAATCTTGAAAAAGAAAAACTAAATAGGAGGAATCATATTTTCCATTTCATAATTTACTACAAGCACCTGCAATCAAAAGAGCATGGTGTTGATATATGGATAAACACAGATCAATGAATAAAATTCAGAGTCCAGAAATAAACCCACGTTTCCATCTAGTTTTCAACTGATTTTCGGCATAGGTGACAAGGTCACCTTAATGGGGAAAGGACAGTCTTTTCAACAGATGGTCCTGGGAAAACTGGATATTCACATAAAAGAATAAAATTGGACTCTTATGCTGTACCATATATAAAAATTAACTCAAAATGTACCAAAGACCAAAATACAAGAGCAAAAACTATAAAACTCTTAAAAAAAAAAAACTGGGGTAAAAAAAAAACACTGGGGTAAATCTTCATGTCTTTAGATTTGGCAACAAATGCCATGATATGACAACAAAGCACAAGCAACAAAAAAAAAGATAAATTGGATTTCATTAAAATTAAAACTTCCATGCTTCAAAAGACATTATTAAGAATGTGAAAAGACAACTCACAGAATGGGAAAAAAATTGCAAATCATGTATCTGGTAAGAGAATTGTATCTATAATACATACATAATTCATACAACTCAACAACAAAAATAACTCATATAACTCAACCCAATTAAAAGAAACTGTTGAAGTATCAGAGTAATATTTCTTCACAGAAGATATACTAATATCCAATAAGCACATGAAAAGCACTTGTCATCATTAGCCACCAGGGAAATGCAAATCAAACCACAAAGAAATGTCATTTCATACATAACAGGATGGCTAAAATCAAAATCTCAATGTTGACAAGAATGTGGATGAATTAGAACCTTCGTATACTTCTATGGGATGATAGAACAGCACAGCCACTATGGAAAACAATCTGGCTGTTCCTCAAAGGGCTAAACAGAATTATTCCCTGATTCAGTAATTCTACCTCCAGTTACATATATGCCTAGGAGAAATGAAATCATGTGTCCACACAAAAACCTGTACCAGGATGTTCAAAGTAGTATTATTTATAATGGCCCAAAGGTGGAAAAACCCCAAATGTTCATCAACTGATGAATGTACATACAAAATGTGGTAAACACAGAACAGAAAACTATCCCACTACAAAAAGAGATGAAGGAGTAAATATGGTACAACGTGAATGAACCTTGAAAACATGATGCTAGGTGAAAAAAGTCAGTCACAAAAGACAACATAGTATATGATCCCATTTACATAAAATACACGGAATAGGCAAATCCATAGAACAATGTAGGTCAGAGATGGCTTAGTTGGAAAGGCGAGAGGGTAATGGAAGGAATAGGGGATCGAAAGCTAGAGTACAGTATTTCAAAGTGATAAAAATGTTCTAAAACTGATGATAGTGGCTGCATTTATCTGTGAATATGCTAAAACCCAGATCACTGTACACAGTAATAACTATCGCACACTGTGAGTGATTTATATGGTATATAAGCTATATTTCAATGATACTGTTTAAAAAAAAAAAGAACTCATATTTACTTCCTCTCTCCTATCTTGACTCTATTAAAGATTAAAAAATTACCAACTTTACCAAGATATGAGTTAAAACCTAGTAAGGGTTAATATTTGCCTTCAGTAGAGAGATTATATGGAGGCAAGAAGGGGTTCTGTGATCTATAGTCAACACTGAAGCAGATTCTCTTTATAAATACTGGTCATTTTTCTGGAAATATTTTATCTAACCATAATACATGCATATTTAATGTTATTACATGTATGTTTACCTGTTCTTCAAGAACAGTTCTTCAGGAAGATCTAGTACATCTGTAAGCAAACCAAAGAAGGTATAGAGGAATGATACCTTTTTAAGGTATCATTTCAGGAGGGACGCCTGGGTGGCTCAGTTGGTTAAGAGTCTGTCTTTGGTTCAGGTCACGATCCCAGGATCCTGGGAGAGAGTTCTGCCTTGGGAATCTTTGCTCAGCAGGGAGCCTGCTTCTCCCTCAGCCTTCAGCTCCCTCTGCTTGTGCTCTTATCTCTCTGACAAATAAATAAAAATCTTAAAAAAAAAAAAGTATCATTTCAGGAAATAATAAATTGGGGTTTAATATTATTTTAAAATTCTTTCATGAGGGAAAGATTGCTTGCTCTTCCCCCTCCCTTTTTTAACTTATTAGAGAGTTAAATTTAACTTAGTAAAATACTGAGATTAACAAGATGAGAAGATAAAATTATACCCTAAGCAATTATAAAAGTTGCCCATAACTTTTTTCGAAGTTGTACACAGATCAGATTTAGTTCTGAAAAATATAAGGAAATTTAAAAGAATAAGTTACCCTTCACTTAATACTTTTATCTATATATACACAAAAAACAATAAGGAAGACCTAATAAATGTTTTGTTTTAACTTCACTGAATTCTAAACGGTTTTCTTTGTCATGGATTAAAGAGGAGGGAGTGGCGCTATTATTTTCGTAGAGATCTCTTACAGCAGGAAGAGGGATTCTAACAGATAAACTAAAAAGTCATACACAAAACTTAACTTACTGACTTATTTTTTTTTAAGATTTTAATTATTTATTTGAGAGAGAGACAGTGAAAGAGAGCATGAGAGGTGAGAAGATCAGAGGGAGAAGCAGACTCCCCGCGGAGCTGGGAGCCCGATACCAGACTCGATCCCAGGACTCCAGGATCATGATACGAGCCGAAGGCAGTAGGTCAACCAAGTAGCCACTCAGGCGCCCCAACTTATTGTGGGGATAAACGTTCACCAATTACTTATTTCCAGCGGTGGAGTGGGACTGGGGCAGAAATCGCGCCGTTTGGAACGGAACTCTTTTCGAATAATACGGATTCACTTTCCGCAAGGATGCCTGGCAGATGCAGTAAAAGTTGCTTAGAGTAAACTAAAGGGACCCAAAGACCAGGATATCAGCAGGAAACAACCAGAGGAACAGTAACAGTACTGAGGGTCTCACAGCGGGAGAAGAGGAGGCGACAACCTCCTGAACGCAGGAAAAAACCGGAGCGCCCAAAGGGTGCAAGTTGACCATTCAAGGATTGCGGTAGGGGACGGCGGAGGGCGGTGAGGGACAAATAGCAGATGCGGCCATAAAAATGAGCAGGGACCCTCCGCGTGTCATCCAGAACTCAGCCCCCTTCTCCCTAAGGCCGGAGTGTCGTCCCAGGGCTCCCCTCCGCCGGTGCCCTACCTTGCCGACCTTGCCCCGGGACCAGGAGCAGCAGCGCCAGCGCCCAGAGTCGGCCAAGCATCGTTGCTGCCGCTCGTGGGGTCCAAAGTGTCGCAGAGCCCGGAGCCGTGGACGCAGGCAGGATGGGGACACCTCAGACCTATCACAGGACTCTCTCGGCCGGTTCTTGCTAACTCTTCAGAGCCGCTGCGTGTTCTCGCTCTGGGGCGCAGCAGTCCTTCCCAGGAATAGCGTCTTTCGCGCCGCCGCTTTGCGGCTACGTCCCGCTCCGAAGCCACGCCCACCAGGCGGGAAGCCACGCCCACTTCCCCTCCCTGGAGGCCGCGTCTGGCGCTTTGCTGTGGCTCCACCACCTTGTATCTCAACAGCGGTCGCGTCCAAGGGACAAGCTCAGGGGGTATAGCATGGCCCCTCGCGTCTCACTGTTTTAACAAATGCTTTAAGACAACTTGATCATTCTGGAAATTGTTCAGATGGACCTCCAATAAAAGCAGCCTTGCGGGGTTCTGTTGGAAGGGGCAGTGCCCTTGATTACTCCTATAGACGGATTTTTAACCTGGTAATTGGGGGTGCTGGTTTGCCTCCAAAGGTGCACATGCTTCTCAGATGTTGCCCCTTTCACCTCAGGCCTCGGTGATGAAGGATGGAAGGAGGGAGCGGAGATTAATATTCCAACACTGGTAGATCTCCTCCTCTGCCTCTATGACAGTTTTAAGAAATGGAAGGGAGGACATTGAGACTTCCAAACACCTAGGGTTACCCATTTTATATTTGCTGGTGATTCCAGTGTTCTTTCAAGTTGTCCAATGGTGACCCAGTAACCCAGGATCCTGCCACACATGGTCACATGACTCCCAAGGGGGGATGGTCTTTCTTCTGAAGTTATTTTTATATGTGTGGTTGCCTCTGCAGAGGAAGCAGGTGCCCGCCTTAAAAAACAAACAAACAAACAAACAAAACAAAACAAAAATTTTAAAAGATTTTATTTATTTATTTGACAGACAGAGATCACAAGTAGGCAGAGGCAGGCAGAGAGAGAGAAGGGGAAGCAGGCTCCCCGCTGAGCAGAGAGCCTGATGTGGGGCTTGATCCCAGGACCCTGAGATCATGACCTGAGCCAAAGGCAGAGGCTTAACCCACTGAGCCACCCAGGCGCCCCAAAACAAAACAAATTTAAAACAAAACAAAAAAACCCAAAAAACCCCACAACTGTTTCTTCATCATTCTATGTCTTTAAATGAAACCTCACTTTCCTAGTTCTATTCAGCAGCCTCAGTTCTTGAGTCCCCTTAGCCATCACTTGGGACTTTGCCCTCAGAGCTAGTACCTTAGGGAAAAGAAAACACTAGTCAACAGAAAGTAGTCCTAATGTCCTGGTGGGTTCCAGGATTCAGTCCACAGTTCCACTTATGGATTTGGAGGACTGAGGCTTGGATGAAGCATGATGATAAACACAGGAGATGCCCAAAAGAGGTCCTTCTGAAAATAGTTTATAATTGGGTGCCTGGGTGGTTCAGTCCATTAAGTGTCTGCTTTCAGGTCATAATCCCAGTGTTCTGAGATTGAGTTCCCCATTGGGATCCCTGCTCAGTGGGGAGTTTGCTTCTCCCCCTCCTTCTGCCCTTCCAACCTGGTAGTGCTCTCTCTTGCTCACTCACTCTCTCTCAAATAAATAAATCTTTAAAAAAAATAGTTTATAACTTTTTTTGAAAGATAAATTGCAATTAAAGAATTTTAAGCCTGTTTCCAAAAGTGTAAGTATTAACTCATTTTGGGGGAAAAAAAAACCTTTGCGCTGCATATAACTTGTATGTAGTCCCCTTTTACATGCAAAGAAGGCACCCAATTATAGATATAGAACAAAAGTGAAATATAACTTTTTGGTGGGGTTGGGCAGATGATTTTCATCTTCAGACCTAATTATGGAAGAAAAATTTAAGGTGAGCAGGATGAAAACCCAGAGATTTTTTTAGTGTACATCTTTTATTTCAGCATATTAAGTCCTAATAAAATGGACAGAAGGGCAACTGGGTGGCTCAGTTAAGAGACCGACTCTTGATTTTGGCTCAGATCAGTATCAGGTCAGGGTTCTGGGATCCATCCCTTGTAGGGCTCCATGCTCAGTGGGGAGTCTGCTTGAGATTCTCTCTCTCCCTCTCCCTCTTCCTCTGCTCCTCCACCCTACCCACCCACCCCCATGCCAGCTCTCTCTCTCAAATAAATGAATAAATGTTTAACAAAAAACTGGGGCATAAAAATAAACATCAATTATCTCAGTTTATTTGTGAAATCACAAGGAATAAAGTAATAGCTATAAACAAGATAAAGTTGTAAAAGGCTTTTTGTAAATTTTTTTTGTCCAACAGTATCTGTAGAAATGCAAGCAACGTTTATATTTTCTTGGAGGACAACATTACTTACCTAATTCTCAACAAATTATACAACTTAAAACAAATTATATAATTTAAAATACAGTGGGTCCCATTTTTCCCCTCAGTTTTTGACTAATGAATACTATTTTATGAGTTTATAATAGACTTGTAACAACCATTTTTCCTTGATATAGTGAGTTAAGATAGAAAAAAAAAATGAATTTAAATTGTTTTCCAAATCTCAATGGAAAATTTATCTACTCTGGTGTGGATCTGTAAGAATATATCAAATAAAAATTAGTTACAGGATTGTGGGAAAAAACAGAGTAATAAAAATGATGTTTTAACATATATCTAGTAAAGTTCATCAAAAGTTGGTATAAGATTCAGATTTTTTCACTTTCCCTTTATTTTTTAAAAGGAGGAAAAAACAGTGGATGCATAGTACCACTAGTGTAAATATCCATGACACCAGGGAAATTATGGCAGGTATCACTGAGAGAGAAATAGTATAGAATGTCTGGAGGAAAATGAAATGAAGCCAAGAGTTAATAAGTATAATGTAACTTGAATAAAGAGAAAAGCCCACCAACAGAAACTTCCATATGATGATTTTTTGCGGGGGAGAAGGGGAGAAAATAACTCTGCACTTGTCATGTTCATTTGCAAAATGATAATGAACTTGTCTGGGTAAAACCCCTCAAGGGGACGCGAGAAGACAGAGCAAATTAAGTGTACTAACCTTGGAGTCAGGACACCTGGGCTCTAATCCTAGATCTGCCACCTATTTACTAGCTGTGTAACCTTGGACAGCATACTTAATGTCTCTTAACCTCATTTTTCTGCACAATGGGAATGATGATAGTAATAACCTACTGCACAGAGTTTAAGAAAAAAAAGTGTGTATATGTGTGGGAATGGGTGCTGAGGAGGAGTGTGAAGAGAGAGCACTTAGCATCTGATTCAGAGTAACTAAAGTGAATGTATATAATAGTGTACTGTTAATAAAGGCGCAACACCACATAATTATTCTTTTTCTTGTATCTTGTTATTATATAAAGGTGCATAGTTTCTCAGTGTTAGCCTGTAACAGTGTACAGTATAATTTGGAGTACACTTATTGAAAACACAGGTTTATATAATATATGAATTCCTTGGCCAGTGTGTGTTTTACTAAATGAGAGAGTCTGGCTCTCTCCCAGAAACATCTACCTTTTTTGGCAAAAGCATCCGGTGGGGGGGGGGGGTGGGGAGGGGGGATAATGGCATTACCAAATCAATACTTAAGCTTCATAAATTAATGTCTTGGCTCTGAATCTGAGTTTGTATCAGGAGGCTACTGCTCCCAGACAGAGACACTAAATGGAATAGATATCTTGCTCCCAAGACTAGCAAGTTCCTTTTTCTTAATGAGGAGTGAACTAGAGATGTGCTACATTAAAGAAAATTCACTGAGAATATCCATTAACTGTGAATTTTATAGTGTTTATCGTGGGCATGCCTCTAGGAAATAATGTGGAAAACCTCGGAGAGGGGGGGCTGTCTGCCTTGGCATGAATGCTGGTTATTATAATGAATCTTTCCACACCCATGTTCGAAGTAGCATTACTCACAATAGCTAAAATGTGGATGAAACCCAGGTGTCCACTGATGGACGAACTGTCAGCAAAATGTGGTATATGCGTGGAATGGAATATTATTGTTTTAAAAAGGAAAGAAATTCTGATACAATACAATACAAATTCTGATACAAGTACAGAAGTTCTGATACAAAACATGGGTGAACCCTGAAGACATTATGCTAATTGAAATAAGCCAGTTCAAAGGACAAATACTGTATGATTCCATGTATGTGAAGTACCTAGAGTAGTGAAGTTCATAGAGACAGAAGGTAGAATGGTGGTTCCCAAGGACTGGGGTGGGGGCAATAATCAGTTTGGAAAGACAAAAAACTTCAGGAGATGAGTGGTGGTAATGGCTACACAATAGAGTGAATGTATTTATTCCTACTGAACTATACACTTAAAATGATTAACATGATAACTTTATATCACATATATTTGGCCACAATAGGAGAAAACAAGTAAAATGAATGGATCTTTCACCCATCAGCCAGAAAGCAAACCTTTTATTTAAACAGATCTCAACATTATTGGCTTGAAGGAGATTTTTTGAAAATGTCCAGTTGAGTAAAAATAGCTTAACCTCTGACAGAATTTACTTTGAGACATAAACTCATACTCAGAGGTTGACAAATTGATTACACCTCCACCAGCCACGCAAAACCACATAAATTGCAACATAGGGTCATAAGATTTACCAGCTAAGCAGTTTTCCTATCTTGTCGGTCACAATACTTTATATAATACTGAGAAATTACTTTTCAAAGATTTGTTTTAGTCACTTGTACACAATAAAAATAGCTTTTATGAATAGTTATTTTAATCAAGAAATTAACTTGTTTCAACTTAATCTTTTCCATGATGTGATTTAGAAATGAGATTAGAATACTAAAGTTCCTTTGAATGGAGTTGGAAAAGGTGTATATTATCCCTTTCAACAGCCATCCATATACATAAGTATTACTGTTTGCTTCCAAAGTACATATTATAAAATGCCTTTATAACTGAAATATCTTCCTAGTAAGTATCATGATTATAATTGAATGTTATTTAGATTCTTCTAGAAGACTTAAATAAAACGTTGTAGCAGGTGGGAAAACTATGTAACATTTCTATTTTTGTTTATATGATTTATGTTATCATCCCTTTCTAAATCATGAAGCATTTTGAGCCTCATAATTATAACTTGCAATATATAATTAGT